GCATGAARTATGAGTCCCAAGGATAAAAACCTTAGAATTGGTGATGAGAGGTAACTTAATTAAGGGCTTTAGAGCCAAGTCTCTTTCTCACGTCTATCTGATAGAAAGTTTGATGGTAGAATGAAAAGAAAGCCCTGCCCTCTTCCCCAGGAAGGGGAGGAGCCAACAATTAAGCAGGGAAGRCAATTCAACTGGTGCAAACAACATTGATTGACAGCTATAAATAACCAATCAATCCAACTATACATTTACAAACTAGGCAAGTTTGGGCATCTTATACAGTTTAMACCTTTGCACTTTAAAGTTCTACACACAGGTGGTGCCAMTCGCGCCGTCACATAGAAGTTAGTGAAACTGGATACATAGGTTCTGAGGTTACAGGGGGTCTTACGATCTGCAGCTCCCTATCGGCGACACTTTCCCCATCACACATGGGACGTATCGCCCTCCCAGCAAGGACCTGTGCTGGCTCTCTACAATAATGTCTGAGAAAAAGGCATGTTCTAGATAGGACATGATAGACTATCTATCAGTAATAAACATATGGTATTGGTGATGACTGTTTAACAAAAATATTATTATAAAGAGTAAATACTGTATTTAAGGGAGGCTGGTGGACATCCTACAGCGATATCTAATTCCTGCTTAGTCAGAGTAGCTAGATATCACATGCTAAGCTGCAGCTTCCTTCTCTGGGTGGCCATATTGCTTCCACTTACATAACAGCAAACTCCTATGTGGCCCAACTTTCGAGTGATTTCAGCTATCCTCTAATATTTGGCTTCAGAGCCTGTTGCATTTTGTTACTCCAAAGGCCAGAGTAAGACATTAACGGGGTTGAAGGCAACAAGAACAGAGGTTTATTCATTTGGGCCCCAAAGGAGGTCAGAATAGAGTCTGCACTCTCAGAGATCTGACCTAAACCACTGGAAAATACAAAGCATATTGATTCACTTTGACAGCTTTTGATTGGCTGGAAAATGGATCTAGGCTCCCTTTGGCTGGAGATTCATTCTGATATCATTGCTGGTTGGTGGTTCCTCAAGGCAGGAAAAATAATCAGCTGTTATTCCTTGGGTTGTTGTAGGTTTTTTCGGGCTATATGGCCATATTCTAGAGGCATTCTCTCCCGACGTTTCACCTGCATCTATGGCAAGCATCCTCAGAAGTAGTGAGGTGTTATTCCTTGGTTTGAAATCTGAATCTGTTCCTCATTATGCTCCCAAAAGGGGCGCAACCACCCGGAATGTGGCTGGCAAACATGTCATTAAGTCCCTGATTGAATTAATAATTCAGGTTGAGTGTACACAAAGGAAAAAATCTGGTGAAACATGAGAAATTGTGAGAAACAATAGGTGAAGTTGTATACTGACCTTTACCAGCGGACCTTAATGGGAAGCTGGAAAATCCCCCAGTAACAGCAATAAACATATCAATGAGAAGAGTTTTTTTGTTAATGGGTTTAATACGATTTTCAACTGTGATAGCCTTGTGTACTTAGAGCGCTCCCCACTTCTACCTCTGGCCTCCCAATGAGATAGGATTAGGAAAACTGAGTGTCCCTGCACAGATGTTCCCAGATTACTAGAAACAAGTACACTGAAAATACATACAGTACATATATTTTGAGGTTATAGGTTAAAAGAGGAAAAGCTTGTTTGTTTTCTCTAGATTGGCACACCACTGATGTTGTGAAGTCATGGAAGAAACATTAAAAAGGATTTCTGAATGTTCCCTTTTAGATTTATGAGTGAATGAAATTATGAATGAAAAAGGGTCGACTTCTAGAGGTTTGTGAAATTTAATTTTCCTATGGACATAGCTATTCCTGACTGATAGGGGCATTTAGTCACTTCCTCTTCCTGGCTTTCCTTAGGGTGATGTGTTTGATTAAGAAGATTGCGTAAATTTCCTTTTGTGTGTGGCATGTGTGCATTCCAGGGTGGGTGAAATGAACAAGGAAAAAGGTGAGGCAGAGTGAATGGCCCCTTGGCCATTTGTAAGGCTGTGCTCTGCCAGTTCATGATAGTTCCATATAATTTTATATAATTCATATTTTGGGGATTTGATTTCTTGATAACATAATTATAATTATGATAATAGCACGATTATTTTAATTATTATAGTCTTTCTGAGGGCATTGAATGCTTTATTATGCTTCTCTTATTTGCTATGTGTGTTATGGTAATTTATTCTTTACCAACTTAGCTACCCTAAACTAATACCTAACCCAGTACTGCTTGGGTTAGGTATTTGGTAAGGATAAATAATATACTTTATTTATATTCCACCTATGAATACCATGTACAGAGGTTGATTGTGTTCCCTGTATTTTTCTTGGAACTGTCATGCAGTGAAGATCATATCCACTCTTCCACTGGAGGGGCAAAAGCTGTTCAGGGATTCTGGGAGGGTGTCTTCTGAGATTGGTAGAAGGTGGTTTGCAATCTTGCGAGGATTTTCCCACTATCAATTGAGGTAGAGTCCAGTGGAGATTTCTTCCTTATGAGGAGGTTGGAACATAGCACTTTTTCAAAGAAGTATTTACAACTTTCACCACTCGACAGTCCTTCCCAGAAGCTTTAATTAATCAGGATGGACATGGTTTTAAGAGATAAGTAGTTGCCCTCACCTCCAAGCAATTTATCCATGTCATCATATCGAACAAATTGAAACTCATTTATCAAAACCAGACCAGTACGTGTCTCGGTTACCTTCTCTACCATCTATGTGAACGAATCAGAGCAATTTTCTCCACAAAGTATTTAGCAAATTCATCACAGTGATTTTCTGAGGGCTCCTCCTTAGCAATCTGAGGCCTAGAATGTAATTGCCTTTTAACTGCCTGGGACTGCTGTGCTGGATGAGATTGAGTTGATGTAATAAGGCAGGAAAGAGTAGTTTCTTTGCTACCCTCACTGCTGCAGAGTAGGTTCTTAATTGAGTTATATGCTTTTAATTGTGTTACTCTATAACCTTTGCTTATATTGGGCTTGGTCCCCTTGTAAGCCATCCCAAGTCCCTTTGGGGAGATGGAGGCGGGATATAAGAATAAAGGTATTATCATTATCATTATTATTATTTTAATGTGGGCCTTAACCCATACTCCACTGACACAACTCTCATCTACCCAAGCATTTAATGGCCCTGGCCTCACCAGAAAATTGAGATGTATGTGCTCTGTACCCAAGTAAAGGATGACTGGGTGTCAGTTGTTTAGGGCACCTTTCGATTCCTCAGATATTTAGGGCATCAAGAGAATGGGAAAATCTAGCAGCTAGAAGATCCCTCAGAACATTGAGGAATCCTTCTGGATCCATTAGTCTCTGAGGACAGAATAGTTCAATGGGTCTACACCCCTACACAGATGAGGATTTCAGCACATCTAAAACCTGTCAAGTAGTGTCCGTGACAATAGGATTCTTTCCACCCATCCTAGGCCATAATCCTAACCAGGAAAAAAATGATCAAGAGTATGGCTGCTACAGATATCAATTGGATAGGTCTATATTTGCTATGGAAGCCATCAAAATATGGAACCGACTCTGATAAGAATACCTAAAGTCTTCCAACACAATAAGTTTATAGCAGATCAACACCGCCTCCAAAACCATGTCAATCAGCTCAAGAAGCATAATAGTTGGGCTTTAGGGTGAGTGGCACACCAACAATATCCCAATTCTATTTCATTGCCCAATTGCAAGAGGTATACACTTAGACCTTGGAGATTGTCAATCAGAATACCTCAACAGAGGAATAGACTTGGAATAGAGAATTGTCATTCCTCCTCCCAGTTGATCTTGCCATCTGCTGCCCCCGCCTCATATGCCTATTTATTCACTGCCATGCAATGGCACAACAAGCTGGAAGTCTTATTGCATAACCTATTTACATTACACATGTACAGTAATGCAGTAATAGGCCAAATGTGGATGGAGGACTGGCCCAAGGACTCAGCATCCTGTTCCAGGATAATGACTTAGACCTGTCTTGACTGAAACATCTATCTGGTGAGACAATTGGTGAGACAATTGGATCAGCTGGAAA